GGAAAGAGAGGCTTTGGGTTCAAAAGGTAAGTTAATCACACTTGGTTGTCCAGGGCTCATTTGTGTTATTGGTCCATGAAAGGTCATTCTCAGTTCTACTTTGTTTCATGGCCTGTATCCATCCCTTTCCTCTCCCCGCAACATATAGATCCTCTCTAAAGTTTTTAATGCTCTTTAGAAAAGAAACTACCCTTAAAAAAATGCTGTTACTTTGTGTGATTTTAATTTTCATTGGCACTGTTCATCCTGATATTTTTTTCTTTTACTCAAAGCAGTTTGTAAAATCTGTTGTCTTGCTACATTTACATCTGCTTCCATGTGCAACTTTCATGTGCAACATACTACATAGTATGAAATTCATGGGTGGCCACTGCTGTACACCTGATGGACATCTAGGTTGCCTCTAACAATCTGGTACTGCAAAATGCTACACTAGGTAAGGCCAAGCATGGAGCTGAGCTGGAATTTCACTGAGATACATTTCTAGGAGAAAAATTGCTGTGTAGTGATTTAAAAGCTATACAGGAAGAAAAACTCATTTAATGTCAAAGCTGCACAAGTCTAAGATCTTAATTTTAAGACCAAGATCTTACTTAGCCTATGTAGAACTTCATAGAAGGCATTTTTTACTTTATAAAATGAAAGACAAGACATCTAGATCACATCATTCTGAAAAGAAATCTCAAAATGAACTATCAATTTACTTAATTTTAATAGTATGAGCATTTTTTGGCTATTGATAACCAAAAAATGTTTTCAGCAGTGTCATAATCTTGAGGGACTTTCCCTCTTAGATTTTAGACGTGATATAAGAAGGTGACAAAGGAAACTTAGAACTTTATAACAGATTCCTTTCTGTGTGCAGAAAAGCAGTGAAGGTTTCAGTAATTCTTCCCACAGTAAAAACCCAAGATCCAAGTGTGGATGACCGGTCAGTTGATCAACTAAGGAAAAGACCACAAGTTGTTATGGTAGTCTTTTCCTGGGAAGAGGGATCTCACAGAAGGCAACGCTGAAGGTTGCCTCCATATAGCTCTGAAAGTATCCTAAGAGTCTCAAACTGGGGAATTCTCATTTTCAAGTGTCCTTCAGGGTGAGAAATATTTGCGGTGCTGAGGGTTGAGTTATTATGAGCTTTCCAAGGTGGAACTTTTGACCTGAACGTGGCAAGTGAAACAAAATACGCATATGTCAGAAGTGGGATTTGAACCCACGCCTACCATTCGGAGACCAGAAGCCTCAACGGTGAAAAGCAGATGTTTGAGTCTGGCGCCTTAGACCACTCGGCCATCTTGACACGTGTCTTACTTTGAAAGTGTTATACTGTAGACTCTGAGGGGTTAGCGCCTAGCTGGGTCCCAGAAGAAAGCTTCTGAAATTTTGTCGGACTAGTTCTGAGTTCAGAGACTGAGAAACAGAGAGAGGTAGGAGAGTACGAGCGTTAGTGAGGACCTAGATAATTCTTTCTGCCTTGGAGACGGGGTGGCAGGGTACTGAGCGACACTCCCTCCTCGCCCCTCTCCCTTCCCCAGTACTCCCAGCCCAGTCTCCTGCTTTCCGCTCCGCCGCCCGCCAGACCAGGGTCCCGCGCCTCACACAAATCTCCTCCTACGGCCCCGACCCCCATATGTGATCTGGACCCCAGGTCACTGTGTTCTTTGTGATTCAAACCTTTATCCAGCAGGTCCAGGTCGATGCTGCCCCAGGACCGGTGGAAACTTAAAGTGAATAAATGGTCAACCCCACTGCTCTGGACAAGAGAGGGTCAGCCCCTTGTTCTCAACCCATCCAAACTGTGATTTTATCTCCTGAAGCCATACTTACATCATTCATTCCACTCATCACCGTCTTCTGACCTTCAGGGTCGCTTGTGCTCTACAGTAATAATCCTGCCTTTCTTCTCCCTAGAGCTCTCAGATGCTTTCCAATAAATATTACCCATCTTGGGTGACCGCAGCCATTCTGAAACATAATGTTTACCTTTTATGACTGAAAAAAATTTGTTTAAGTGACTGAAAATGAAATAGCCAAAGTGTGCAATGATTATTCTAGGATTAAAGGAGAGAAGAAATTTAAAATCCCGATAACTAGGAGTATCACCAAGTTTCTATAATTAGGCTGTAAAATCTAAATCTATAGGACACTTAAATTTGAGAGCTATCACTTTTTAATTTGTAATTACCTCATCTATTACCCTAAAACTAAATGGGAAGCATCTCTTTTTAAAAAATAAGTTTATTGCTTGTAGATTTTAATCTTTTTATTGTGACTTTTTTCACTATACTAACAGTACAATAACAAAGTATGCAAAATTGACAGTTTATATTTTAATATATACATATGTTGAATTTTTGAAGCATAGGTATATTCCTATACACTCTTGAAGTCTATTTATATATTTTTTTTGTAGATGAAAACGTCTGAATACAGGTTTAAAATATTTGGAATACTTGAAAATGGATATTATCAAAATATAATGTAAACATGAAATTGCAACTGAAATATGCCATAATTCAATTTTCTTTACAGACTGATTTTTGCAGGGCCCAGCACAGTCAATATTCCATGAACTGCTGGGTAGTATGTTTCCTAGGCACCTGTTTAATATTAATATTAATTTATTTTAATGTCTCAAAATTTTCATTACAAGTCCAGGGGACATTGGATAAGTGAAATCTGAGGAGATAGAGGCTTCCAAGTGGTTAGAGTTCAGTCATAAAAAACCTGTAGTAGATTGTATTTTCCAAAGATGGCCATACAGCTGTATCTCATGCCCTGTGTTTTTCTTTGAATGCAATTTTGACACATTTCCTTCCAGAGGTTGGGGGGATCTCTGTTCCCTCCCCTTGAATCTGGATAGGGCTGTGACTACGATGGAAGAGATACTCTATGACTTCCAAAGCTAGGTCATAAAAGGTGATAGAAGCTTCCAATAGTTTTCTCTCAAGACATCTGTCCCCGGAACCCAGCCACCACACTGTGAGGAAGCCCAAAGTAAGCCGCAGGGAGGGACCACATGGAAAATAACTGAGGCCTCAGCGCACAGCCAGCAGCAGCTGCCATACATTTGAGTAACCCATCCTTCAGATGATTTCCTGCCCCCGGTCTTAGAGTCTTCCACTTGAGTTTCCAGAAATCATGGAGCAGAGGCAAGCTGTCCTCATTGTGCTCTGCCCAAACTCTGTGAAAACCAACAAATCTGTGAGAACAAATAAATGACAGGTGATAAATTAAGCCGTTTAAGTTTTAGTATGATTTGTTACATGACAATAGTTAGGTATGGATCAGTCTTGGTCCAATGAGGAGAGAGGAACAAATAACTTGGCAGGAAAAGTTGTTTATTTATTTATTTTTCCATTTTATTGAGATATGTTTGACATATAACATTGTGTAAGTTTAAGGTGTACAACATAATGATTTGACATATGTATATATTGCAAAATGATACCATAATAAGTTTAGTTAACAACTATCAGCTCACATAGTTACAACGTTTTTTCCTTGTGATGAGAACTTTTAAGATCTACTCTCTTAGCAACTTTCAAATATACAATCCAGTGTTGTTAACTACAGTTGTCATGTTGTACATTACATCTCCAGAAAGTATTTCTCTTATAATGAACAGGGAAAGTTTAATACAGAGAATTATTACCTAAAGAAGGGGTTGGAGAAACAAGGAATTGGCTAGTAAAAAAGTAAAGACAACACTGACGAATAAAGGAATAGCAAATCTAAGGAGCAGTCACTACCCTTAGGGCTGAAAACAGCTTAGGAAGTACCCCTCACCTACAGCTGAGCCAAAGCACAGAAGGAAGAGCCCTCTACCCTTCACCCCACCCCTAGCTAAGATCCAGACCTCGATGGGGAAGGCACGGACATGGCTAACTGAAGAGCGGAGAAATTGCTCTCGGGTTGTGCCAGCAGAACTTGCTTGAAATGTGCCCTCTGGAACTGGCTGGAGATCCATCTTCCAGCGTTTCTTGGAAAGCTCTTCTTGGAGAGGTCTCTCACTGAGAGCATTCTACTATAAAACACTCAAGGGGGACGCTGGCCAGGGGAAGTTGGTGGCTGCTGGTTGCCGCTGGATCCTGAAGCAGGGGAAAGCCATGCCTGGTGTAGCAGCAAGGCCCTGGGGAAGCAGCAGTCCAAGTAGTGTGTGGGAACCAGGATGCAAAACCCCCTTCCTCCTGCAATGATTCTCCGCCATCCTCTACCTGCAGAGCTTCAGTGCCGATTGGCAAAAGAAAACTATTTAAAGGATTCATATCCATTTCCACAAGGCAGGCAAAAAGGGTGAATTTGGGACTGAGAGACAATAAATTCATGATGAGTACTGGGTAATGGACATTTTGTTACCTGAAAATGGGAACAAACCCTAAAACATGTGACTTTGGGCCCGGGCAGCAGACAGAAACTGGAAAGACCTTGAGGAGAATGTTACTGAAAAGTCCTGAGGACAGTTTCTTCCTGTTGCCCGTGTCGCCGTATTTCATCGAGGTTATACATTTCTTTAGGTGCAAGAAAACCAGAGGTGAACACTATACCTAAATACAGGATGAAATCTGAGAAAACTGCACATCACAGGTTTGTTGGGACTTTATGATCTCTCTTGAGCCTGCATCCCCTTCTTCTGTGATACTCAGGAGATGAAGAGGAGCTTCCAGAGACAGGCCCTTCTGCACAGGCAAGTTTAGGATTTTGGAGAATCTGAACAAACTGGCTCCTCCGGAAAGCAGGAGGCAGACCTTGAGTCCAGAGAAGTTTAGGAAGCCGCTGATGAGTAGTAGTGATAAAATTGACCTCACATTTCTTTCACTCCCCTCACTCTCAACTTCTTTAATACACCCATTTCTTTTTTTTTTTACTGCGTTTCCCTATTATTTGCATTTATGACACTCCAGGTCACAAGGGCATTGTTTTGCCTGTATATGACTTTGGTGAGAGAGACGTGGAGTGTGTTATTTTTTACTCTGGGAGACCTTTTAGAAAGCTGGCTGGCTGGCTTTTCAGAGACTGCAGCCTCTCCTCTGGATTATGGGAGGACTGTATTTCAGGTTGGGACAGATGCACAGAGACTGGATTCCCCACTTCTCCACCAATAAATCTTATTTTGCTGAGTTGTTTTAATGTTACTTGTATTTGTCAGTAGTCGGGGTGTTTTGGTTTTGCTTTTTGTTTGTAATTAACAGCCATTGTTTCTTTATTAGCCAGCTATCAAATCCTGAAAGTAGACAGGAAAACAGTCCTTGCTTTGTTTCAGGTGCACAGGGCCTCTGACTTGGGACAGGAGACCTAGGATTTGTGGTTGAGTTTTCTTCTTTACCAGCTCTCTGTACATTATGGTTGTTGCTTGTGCGAGCTGAGTCGCTATACAGATTTTTTTGTGTGTGTGACCCTCACAGCCCCTTTACCCGGGTGGAAATTAACAATTTTCTAGTATCTTTGCCACAGCTCCTTTGGACAGATCTTTTCTATTTGGATTTCAGCGACGCGCGGTGGAGGAGAAACATGGCCCTTTCTTTAACGCCCCGGATTGAGGCTCCAAAACGTATTCCAGCCTCAAGGACTAGGCTACAAAAAAGGCAGAGCCTCTCCTCGGCTTCTGTTCCCGGGAGGTCGCTCCATTTCCTTCTTCCTGCTGGCCTCATCATTACCCTCACCCCTCAGTCTCCTGATAGCTGATATCGGGGAATTTGAGACAGATCTTGCCTGCTTTCCCCCAAGGCTCTAAGAACTGAAGTCTGGAATATCTGGGCTTCAATCTGTGCGAAAGGTACTGCAGAGCAGCGGTCGTGGCTGTAACTAAAATCAACTGGCCCAGTAGTTCTCACCCCAGCCTCCGCATCTTGGCAAATGGGCAAGCGTTTATTCCCCACTCTCGTCAACGTGCAACCTCTGACCCTCGGCTGCTCTGGATTCAAACAAAACTCTCAGAGGTGATTTAAGTGTCTTGTACTTCCTTTGACAAAAGCGAATTGAACGGGATATTAAAACTATCAGAGAGTGAGGGAATTTGTTTGACCACAGTCCAGAAAATCGAAAAGGAGATGAGGGCAGAGAGTCAAATTTTCTAGAAACCAATCAAAACAAAACAAAACAACAAAGACCTAAAGATTTCAGCCTATAATCTGCTTTAGGACGAGGAGTGGAAATTTAGTCAACAGCGGCTCCGTAGCTCAGGGGTTAGAGCACTGGTCTCGTAAACCAGGGGTCGTGAGTTCGAATCTCACTGGGGCCTTGGGAGTGTTAGTTTTCCATCTCGCACAGACTTTAATTAAGAGATGTATTTCTAAGAGG